TTATCAGTATTTGTGTGTGTGTGTGTGTGTGTGTGTGTGTGTGTGTGTGTGTGTGTGTGTGTGTGTGTGTGTGTGTGTGTGTGTGTGTGTGTGTGTGTGTGTGTGTGTGTCTGTGTGTGTGTGTGTGTGTGTACTTAATTATTCTTGCGGGGGTTGACCTTCGGCTCTTTGGTCCCGCCTCTCAACTGTCAATCAACACACCCACAGTGTGTGTGTGTTTGTGTGTGTGTGTGTGTGTGTGTGTGTGTGTGTGTGTGTGTGAGTGTGTGTGTGTATGTGTGTGTGTGTGTGTGTGTGTGTGTGTGTGTGTGTGTTAGCCTACAAACTATACAAGTAAGTTTTACTTCTAAGAACTAACAACTTGTCACCGTGCTCCTACAAGTCTACAACCCCCCTACACACATACCAGTGTTTTCCTAGTAACGCATCCAAGTCCAAACTTATGCACCCGGGAATCAAGTGCATTGCACTCAGTAACTTGGGAGTGATAGTGTCTTGCTTAATATCTCCCCCCTTGTGAAGCTCTCTCTCCTTCATGTTCCTATTTTATGTGCTTCTAGCACATAAAATAAGTACCATCACCCCTCCCCCCCACCAACCACCATCATCCCCCCCCACCAACCACCATCTCTCCCCCTCCCTTACCCCCATAACACCAGCCCCAACTAACCTCCCAGACCCCTCCCACACCTGTGACAAGGTGCACAACTCATTAACATTCCTGGAGGCTGTCTCGACAGGGTCAAGGGTGAGAAAGATGGTCATGGCCACCCTGAGGGGGTTCTGGGGCTGAGGTGGTGTGGTGGAGGGTGAAGGGGCGGGGCAAGGCGGGGTGGATAGGGCGGGGCAGTGTGGGATGGATAGTGTGGGGGGGGGGGGAATAGAGGTGGGTCGAAGTCGTGTAGTCGAGTGTCGGTGTTTTCCAGCGGGGGTCAAACGTCGATTTCTTCCCCCCCCCCTTCCCACCCTCTCCTTCTTGGACAGGGCGGGGGATCAGGCAGGAGCTGGGCGGGGCGAGGCGGGGCGGGGACGGGGCGGGGACGGGCGGGGCGGGACGGGGTGGAAAGATACACGAAGTTCGGACAGGGAAGAACTGAAGCGTCCACGACAAGGACCCGGGTGGCGCTGGGCTGGCGATGGGTTGACAGGAGCGGGAAGAGATTGCTACTGATTGACAGGAACGGTTGACAGAAGCAGGGAGGGATTGTGGCGTATTGACAGGACCAGAGATTAAAGGGGAGGGTTAGGAAACTATAAGAGGACAAAAAAGAGTTACAATGAGGATTGAGAAGGGGGACTGTCAGAATCAAAGACTGTATATAATTTTTATTCTTATTAAACCGTACAGAGGGAAAATAAGGCAACCCCTACAGCGAACTTTGTTCACATGACACCTTAATACTTTTCAAAGAGCGGAGTACGAGAAAATGAGAGAACTTCTAAAGAGGATGCAAATTACACGTTAAATTAGACGGAATATATGACGGAATCTCTCTCTCCCAGAACTCACAGAGGCTACAGAAAATGCTCCTCTTGTTTAGAGGGTTCACAGAGAGGGGGAACTCTACAGAAACAAAAAACACGACCCAGCGCACAACCACTAGAAATATTGGTTAAAGAATTATATAAACACGAAACAAATATATCGGAATCAGGCGAAAAGCAGAGAAGCAATTTGGGAATGACGAGGAAGCCAATATAAGTGGAAGCCAATATAAGTGGAAGCCAATGTAAGTGAAAGCCAATGTAAGTGGAAGCCAATATAAGTGGAAGCCCATATAAGTGGAAGCCAATATAAGTGGAAGCCAATGTAAGTGGAAACCAATGTAAGTGGAAGCCAATATAAGTGGAAGCCCATATAAATGGAAGCCAATATAAGTGGAAGCCAATGTAAGTGGAAGCCAATGTAAGTGGAAGCCAATATAAGTGGAAGCCAATGTAAGTGGAAGCCAATATAAGTGGAAGCCCATATAAGTGGAAGCCAATATAAGTGGAAGCCCATATAAGTGGAAGCCAATATAAGTGGAAGCCAATATAAGTGGAAGCCAATGTAAGTGGAAGCCAATGTAAGTGGAAGCCAATATAAGTGGAAGCCAATGTAAGTGGAAGCCAATGTAAGTGGAAGCCAATATAAGTGGAAGCCCATATAAGTGGAAGCCAATATAAGTGGAAGCCAATATAAGTGGAAGCCCATATAAATGTATGTGAGGAGCTATATACAAATTTCAAGAAAAATCCAAAACTGCATTTCAATTGATGCCAGATATTGTGGGGTGGACTCTTGAACTAAGATGAGGAAACGTTGTAGTTAAAGAATAATAAGAAGAGAAGTTCCTTGAAGAATTAGTTTCAAGAATAGTAGAGCCAGACATTGTTCTACGGTAGATATTGAAGGAAGTTAATGAGACTCTGTGAAAAATACTAATGACGGCTTAGATCACACACGATAGGAAAGAAAGGATAAGCTGCAATTTTTCTTGACTGTCAGAAAGTCTTTGACATCGTTCTCCTCAGGAAAATAATATTCACATTGCAACAGCTGTCCGTGGAAACTGGAAGTGCACGAAACTAACAGAATAATTAACACACAGAACACAGTCACAGATCTCGGACCAATACGTTCCTTATTTAAGTAACTGACCCGAAAGTGGAATGTTTTTCTGAACATGACGATGTTTCCAGAAACGTGCAGGAGAACAGAAACTAAAGATGACAGCAAAAGTGTTACAGTAACATTTGAACAACATTTAAGATGGGTCCGAAGAGTGGCTGCTGGAAATAAATCCTAGAAAAAATGCAACGTAATGAGAGTGAGAGTCGGAATTAAAACGTCCCGGGACAGAAAGTGACAATTCCATCTGTGTTATCATTTGCATAACACTGGCAACCATCCTAAGTGTGTGTGAACCTCGAACCACTATACCATTATCTTTAGTATCTGATCAAGCATCTTATGTGACATAACAAGATGCAACGAATGTTAGAAACTGTGATTCTCCACCAGCTCCTCGGATGCCAGGGTGGAACCCTCTTTGAATCGCCACTTTGATACGATAGGTGGCAGCTCTTTAACTAATTATTACCTCGACGAGGTTGGAACCCAACTCTTCGAAAGGTAATATGGCGCTTGTGTCCCAGAGAACCCAAACTCCTGGATGATACTGGAAAGTTATACTGAATGTATATATATATGAATATATATCCCCAGGACTTGTAAACTTAGCTGACTGCATCTCTATTGGTGGTGGCGCCATCCATACAGTTAATAATTTATATAATAAAGGGTAATAATAAAATCAATACCATATTATATATATATATAATATATATATATATATATATATATATATATATATATATATATATATATATATATATATATATATATATATATCGTACCTACTAGCCAGAACGCACTTCTCAGCCTACTATGCAAGGCCCGATTTGCCTAATAAGCCAAGTTTTACTGAATTAATATATTTTCTCTAATTTTTTTCTTATGAAATGATAAAGCTACCCATTTCATTATGTATGAGGTCAATTTGTTTTTATTGGAGTTAAAATTAACGTAGATATATGACCGAACCTAACCAACCCTACCTAACCTAACCTAACCTAACCTATCTTTATAGGGTAGGTTAGGTTAAGTAGCCGAAAAAGTTAGGTTAGGTTAGGTTAGGTAGGTTAGGTTGTCGAAAGAACATTAATTCATGAAAACTTGGCTTATTAGGCAAATTGGGCCTTGCATATTAGGCTGAGAAGTGCGTTCTGGCTACTAGGTACGACATATATATATATATATATATATATATATATATATATATATATATATATATATATATATATATATATATACCACCACCAATACGAAAGATGGTAGGAGAGAGGGAAGGAAGAGTGAAAGGGAGGGAAGGAAGAGAGTGGGAGGGAAAGGAGGGAGAGAGGGAAGGAGAGAGGGAAGGAGAGAGGGAAGAAGCAGCGGTCGTGGGCAAGTGGTGGCGACCTTTGCTTGGCAAAATATTATCCTACTCGAGTCCAACTTACCTGTAACATGTTGAACAAAGACCTCACACTCGGCGCTCTCAAGGACCCCTACCTCTCACTGGAGGGGCTAGGAGACTCCTACCTCTCACTGGAGGGGCTAGGAGACTCCTACCTCACACTGGAGGGGCTAGGAGACTCCTACCTCACACTGGAGGGACTCCTACCTCTCACTGGAGGGGCTGGGAGGCTCCTACTTCACACTGGAGGGACTGAGGGACTCCTACCTCTCACTGGAGGGACTGAGAGACTCCTACCTCACACTGGAGGGCCTGGGAGGCTTCTACCTCACACTTGAGGGACTGAGAGACTCTTACCTCACATTGGAGGGACTGAGACACTCCTACTTCACACTGGAGGGACTGAGAGACTCCTACCTCACACTGGAGGGGCGGAGAGACTCCTATCTCACACTGGAGGGGCTCAAGGGCTCAAGCCACACACTATAGGGACTGTAGAGTCATTTTCAGTGTCTCCCAAGAGACACTGAATATAACGTTAGACTGTTTGATCGGTAGAAATATACTCAGTGGCCTCATAAGTCCTCCCTCCCTCGCTGACCCCACCTAGCTCCCCTCTTTCCTCACCTCCCCTCTTTTCCCCCATTTATCTCCACTCTCCTACTTCTTCCTGGGCCCTCGCTGGGCACCGAGTGCACTAGCATGAAGTAGACGAGGAGAGAGTGCACGCTCCCTCACTCAAAGTACCAGACGCAGACACGAGACGAGGCAGAAGAATGGTCTAGCTTCAGCAGCATCGAAAACCCATTTTTCGTAAATAAATTTACATAGAAAAAGTATATTAAATCCACAATAGCTATACAAATGAAAATTCTCACTCCTAAACAATTCATTAAATCTAAATATAGGTCTTAACATGTATCATGTCTATTTTAGGGTTTAATTTTTGTGTCTTCCGAGGAAAATACAACGATTTAAGGCCATGTTTCTCATCAACAGCCATGACGCAGTCTGGAGGAGTGCGTCTTGAAGCACCAAATATGGAGTTCCTTAAGGTAGGATCAAATTGATTTTGGGTTAATTATTCTTATGTGTGTGTGTGTGTGTGTGTGTGTGTGTGTGTGTGTGTGTGTGTGTGTGTGTGTGTGTGTGTGTGTGTGTGTGTGTGTGTGTGTCTGTGTGTATTCACCTAGTTGTATTTGCGGGGGTTGAGCTTTGCTCTTTCGGTCCGCCTTTCAACTGTCAATCAACTGTTTACTAACTACTTTTTTTTCCACACCACACACACACACCAGGAAGCAGCCCGTGACAGCTGACTAACTCCCAGGTACCTATTTACTGCTAGGTAACAGGGGCATTCAGGGTGAAAGAAACTTTGTCCATTTGTTTCTGCCTCGTGCGGGAATCGAACCCGCGCCACTGAATTACGAGCCCTGCGCGCTATCCACCAGGCTACGAGGCCCCGTGTGTCTACTCTACAGACTCTACGAGAGAGAGAGAGAGAGAGAGAGAGAGAGAGAGAGAGAGAGAGAGAGAGAGAGAGAGAGAGAGAGAGAGAGAGAGAGAGAGAGAGAGAGAGAGAGAGAGAGAGAGAGAGAGAGAGAGAGAGAGAGAGAGAGAGAGTGTGTGTGTGTGTGTGTGTGTGTGTGTGTGGTGAGTTCCAGCTTCTGGACTCGCCTCCCATCATTTAAATCAAATAACGTAGCTCATTTTTAATTCATAATTTTTAATTCATATTTAATTCATTGTTTAATTCATATTGTGGTGATGGGTTGTGGTGGTGATGGGTTGTGGTGGTGGTGGTGGTTGTGCTTCTCAAACATAACCACCTAAGAACTATAGCAGCATCAGAAAGGTTACATTAACCCATGCGCGCCGCACCTATTAATATCCAATCCCACCTACTCCTTCCTGTACTCGAGTAAACAACCTTCGCTTGCAACAGCGGCTCTACACCAGTGCGTCTGCCTAGCACTACATCCTCCATAACTCTACAACCACCATTTCCTTGTCAGATTGTTCGTGTTTTGTTTTTATTTATATTTTAAGGACCACTGCTTGTAATTATCTAATTGTAATTGTGTTTTATCTATAATTATTTATAATTTATTTATCTTTTATCTACCTCACTCGTGTCCTTCCTTTCTCTCTGTCTTACTAGTAAATGTAAATTAAGCTCTCTTCAGAAGCTTCTAAATCTCTGGATTCGTCTAATAAAGCTTATATCAAATCAATTCTTTGGTACCCGATACTAAGCTGTATAACTGTGTGCCTAACAAGACGAGGGTAAAGCTCAAGTCTAACATTAAATGTCTAATAACAGATGTCTAACAGTGTAAGGTATGATATTATGTCTAAGAATGCAAAGGTATGATACTATGTCTAAGAATGCAAAGGTATGAAATTATGTCTAAGAAAGCAAGGTATGATATTATGTGTAAGAATGCAAAGGTATGATATTATGTCTAAGAATGCAGAGGTATGATATTATGTCTAAGAATGCAAAGGTATGATATTATGTCTAAGAATGCAAAGGTATGATATTATGTCTAAGAAAGCAAGGTATGATATTATGTCTAAGAATGCAAAGGTATGATATTATGTCTAAGAATGCAAAGGTATGAAATTATGTCTAAGAAAGCAAGGTATGATATTATGTCTAAGAATGCAAAGGTATGATATTATGTCTAAGAATGCAAAGGTATGATATTATGTCTAAGAATGCAAAGGTATGATATTATGTCTAAGAATGCAAAGGTATGATATTATGTCTAAGAATGCAAAGGTATGATATTATGTCTAAGAATGCAAAGGTATGATATTATGTCTAAGAATGCAAAGGTATGATATTATGTCTAAGAATGCAAAGGTATGATATTATGTCTAAGAATGCAAAGGTATGATATTATGTCTAAGAATGCAAAGGTATGAAATTATGTCTAAGAAAGCAAGGTATGATATTATGTCTAAGAATGTCAGGTATGATATTATGTCTAAGAATGTCAGAAATGATATTATGTCTAAGAATGTCAGGTATGATAGTACGTCTAAGAATGTCAGGTACGATATTATGTCTAAGAATGTCAGGTATGATATTATGTCAGACAATGGCAAAGGGAATTTCTGTAAAGTTCAAGCAATTCAAAAATAAATGAAATACTTGAAGAGAATTTCCAGTATTGTGGAAAGTTTAGCCCAGCCAGAGTTCTGGACTCCGTAATTAATCCAGCTGTTTGGCATAACCAGATACGTCAACAATGCGACCGTTTGACCTAAGCAGAAATGTACAAACCCAAGCACCCCACCTGACCATTAAGGGAATGAGCCTGGCCGATGAGTAAGGTAGAGTAATGAGTAAGGTAGAGTCATGAGTGAGTATGGTATAGACTGTTCAATGAGGAAGGTAGACTGTGTATCAGTGATAAAAGATTGGTGAAGGGAACAACGCCGATCCCACTCCTGCATTCACAGTCACATCCCACTACCCCCTCCAACCCCCAACCTGCACCCGCGCCTCCGCACACGCCCCCACACCGACACGCCCGCACACGCTCCCACGCCCACGCACGCTCCCACGCCCACGCACGCTGTAAACCCATCGGGTGCCAGTAAGGAAGACACAGGAGGAATGAACAATGGAGACGGGTGATCACTTTATGGCCGCGCCAGGGGCACCACCGGCTGTTACAGCGAGGGCAGGGCGGGGAGGGCAGGGCAGGGCAGGGCAGGGCGGGGAGGGCAGGACGTGGAGGGCAGGGCAGGGCACCAGTTGATCTGTACGCCAGTTGATTGACAGTTGAGAGGCGGAACCAAGGAGCCGAAGCTCAAACCCCCCACAAGCACAACTAGGAGAGCACACAAACTGAGCCAAAAATGACACAGTCTACAAAAAACGCCCAGAAGAGGACACCTCAGGAGAGCCACCACCACCACACACCACTTCTCTCTACACTTCCAAGACTCCAGTTAATGGCTGAAACAATGTTCCAAACACACACACACACACACACACACACACACACACACACACACACACACACACACACACACACTCAGGAGACAATGGATCGATACATTTCTCTGACCGCAATTAAAATTCCTAATGGTGTTTTACTAAAGTTTACCAGACACGCGGGAATGAGCAACCTCACCTCGCTGGTGACAGTGGTGGACTGACTCTCTCTCTCTCTCCCTTTTGGGTAGATATTAAGGTAGATACTTTGGGTAGATATCACGTTCGGGCGGCCCGGTCTCTTCCAGGTTTGGCCTGTTAGACGCCGCTGCTGATGCATGAATCACAGCCCCGTTGGTCAAGTATCCTCTATAAGCATTTACCATGTTCCCCATAGAAGAACGTGAGAGATAGACAAGCATATAATTCCTAATGGGGATATTTTAAATGCAGGGAGTAGGTAAGATCCGTCATGGTGGGGATGTGGAGGGTGTCACCCCATCATGGTGGGGGGTGTTGGGGTGTGTCACCCACCATGGTGGGGTGTTGGGGGGTTCCGCTCAGCTCCCCGGGGGGCGCCTGTCGACCGTCAGATGGCGGGAAGATCTCATCGCTCAGCGGCCCCGGCGGACAATGTCGCCGCCAGCTAATGAAGGGATAGCGGGTGTAAAGTAGGTTCTCACCCAACTATATCTTCCAGCTCCGGCACTCGACGCTATCACAACCATATATTATTCCAACGAAGAATGGAGCATTCAGTGTCCTACACGTTGAAAAGATATCATGTGCATGTATATATGCAGTAAATCCCCAGAGAAATGGAAAAGGGAGATGAACGTTTCGGCTGGTTATAGCCGTTGTCAACCCCAGATTGACTGTTGACAGCCCCAGTCTGGGGGGTTGTCAACGGCTCTAACCAGCCAAATTGTTCATGTAGTGTAATGTATGTTTACAATACACTACAATGTCTTCTCTTGCGGGCCGAGTTTCCACCCCTGAGGCCAGATTATCTTCAGTCAGGTGGCGGCCGAGCTTCTTACTTACGAATTCGTCGAATTCCGTATTGCTGTAATCGTTCTTCACAACAATTTGTCGGATTCGTTGGAGTTCGTGATGCAAGAGCTGCTAAGAAGAGCATGTATGCATTACACGACCAACATATGCACTAATGACGCTTCTCTTATACCTGTGAGTGCATTCACTCTCACCGTTCATGCATTTTCCTGCATCGTCAGTTGGTTTACGATACACATCTGTGATGAACATGCCCGAGTTACCCCATAACGAGAACATCGAGGAATGCAATCCTGCATCCTTCGCCTTTCTCAACCGTGAACTTCAAACTTGAGAATTCTTCTTGCTTGCCACCAGGAGAGGCTTATCTTGAGGTTATCTTGAGATGATTTCGGGGCTTTTTAGTGTCCCCGCGGCCCGGTCCTCGACCAGGCCTCCACCCCCAGGAAGCAGCCTGTGACAGCTGACTAACACCCAGGTACCTATTTACTGCTAGGTAACAGGGGCATGGGGTGAAAGAAACTCTGCCCATTGTTTCTCGCCGGCGCCTGGGATCGAACCCAGGACCATAGGATCACAAGTCCTGCGTGCTGTCCGCTCGGCCGACCGACTCCCACAGGCTACCGACAGGCTTTGTGATAGTGGTAACATATTCTCACAATCCTTATCACTATCGCTACCCATCAGGCTCACCATCATCACTACTGCTAGGAGTATCATTGCAGCACAAGGCACATATATGACTTGCAACATTTGACCTGCAATTCCATTCACAATTACACTGGTACTCGGGTACACCAATTACAATCACAGGGTTTAGCTGCGTAGAAGAACTTCATGTAATTGTCTCAAATACCATTAATTACCTTCCAATTAGCTGCTTCCACTTAACCTTTGACCCCGAGGTGAAGCCAAAGGTCGACTATGTTTACATTTACAATATACGACATTCCTAGAGACGTGTCACGTTTTTGCGGCAGCGGGAGGTAGTGGTGGTGGGGAGGTACTGGTAGTGGTGGTGGGGAGGTGCTGGTAGTGGTGGTGGGGAGGTACTGGTAGCGATGGTGATGGTTGGGGAGATAAAGGTGTGGGAGATGGAAGGAGTGAGATAGTGGTGGCGGAGGATATAATTGAGTGGTGGTGATTGGCCCTGTGTGTGTGTGTGTGTGTGTGTGTGTGTGTGTGTGTGTGTGTGTGTGTGTGTGTGTGTGTGTGTGTGTGTGTGTGTGTGTGTGTGTATTCACCTAGTTGTATTCACCTAGTTGTGTTTGCAGGGGTTGAGCTCTGGCTCTTTCGAGAGGAATGAGAGGATCACACACATCCCCAGGAAGCAGCGCGTAGCAGCTGTCTAACTCCCCGGTACCTATTTACTGCTAGGTAACAGGGGGGCATTCAGGATGAAAGAAACTCTGCCCATTTGTTTCCGCCATCGCCGGGGATCGATCCCCGATCCACAGGACTACGAATCCCGAGTGCTGTCCACTCAGCTACCAGGCGACTCTATGTGTGTGTGCGCGTGCGGTTATCGACTATGCTTACGGAGTATTCAGATCCCTGAAAAATCCCTAGGCCTATTGTAAAGGTGCCTAGCAGTCACCCTTGGAAAAATGTTTCCTTACCTTTGTATCCTCTATCTCTTCCTTTCTCTCTCTCTCTCTCTCTCTCTCTCTCTCTCTCTCTCTCTCTCTCTCTCTCTCTCTCTCTCTCTCTCTCTCTCTCTCTCGCCCTCATTACAACACTTCAGAATAAAATATACACAAGAAGCGACGATAATAAATTTGTCCCCCAAGTTCCGAACTATTAAAGTAATAATTAGCTGTAGTTTTAGGGCTGAGAAACTACAGTAATTGAGGAATGAGCATCTCTCCTCACCATACTCTTAAGAAGTATTTACTACGACCATAAAGAACACACACACATTATATATATATATATATATATATATATATATATATATATATATATATATATATATATATATATATATATATATATATGTAAACCTTCAATTATAGACATCGTTCACTAAATGATGAGCTTCATAATAATAGAAGCGGAGTAACCCTTTGATCTTGGTGAAGAGGGGGTCATTACTGCTCTCATATCCTCTCTAATTTACATATTAGCGATGATGGTGCTGATTGTGGATGATTGTGGGTGATTAGTGGATCATTGCGAGTTGATTACAATTATTAGAGGCTTGTGTGTTGTGTCAGGATGTCTGGGTGGTAGAGATTGTTATTTTACTCTCTCTCTTTCTCTCTCTCTCTCTCTCTCTCTCTCTCTCTCTCTCTCTCTCTCTCTCTCTCTCTCTCTCTCTCTCTCTCTTTCTCTCTCTCTCTTTCGCTTTCTCTCCCTCCACTCGGCTGGATGGTAGGGCGACGGTCTCGCTTCATGCAGGTCGGCGTTCAATCCCCCGACCGTCCAAGTGGTTGGGCATCATTCCATTCCCTCCCCGTCCCATCCCAAATTCTTATCCTGACCCCTTCTCAGTGCTATAATAGTTATAATGGCTTGGCGCTTTATCCTAATAATTTCATTCCATGCCATTCCCTGTACTCGAACTCATTAGACATCTCCCCGTTACTGCAAAAGCAACGGGGAGATTTAGCCCCACTAACGTGTCCTTGTCTAACTTTGTCACTAACTTACGCCCCCACTAACGTGTTCTTGTCAAACCTTGTCACTAACGTACACCCCCACTAACGTGTCCTTGTCTAACTTTGTCACTAACTTACGCCCCCACTAACGTGTCCTTGTCTAACTTTGTCACTAACGTACGCCCCCACTAACGTGTCCTTGTCTAACTTTCGGCAGGCGCTGAGCGGGTTCCTAATGATGCTGACGCAAGGAGGGAAGCTGCTCTACATCTCTGACAACGCTGCCGAGTACCTGGGCCACTCTATGGTGAGTCCTCTCACACTATGGTGAGTCCTCTCACACTATGGTGAGTCCTCCACTCTATGGTGAGTCCTCTCACTCTATGGTGAGTCCTCTCACTCTACGGTGAGCCCTCTCACTCTATGGTGAGTCCTCTCACTCTATGGTGAGTCCTCTCACACTATGGTGAGTCCTCTCACTCTATGGTGAGTCCTCTCACTCTACGGTGAGCCCTCTCACTCTATGGTGAGTCCTCTCACTCTATGGTTAGTCCTCTCACACTATGGTGAGTCCTCTCACTCTATGGTGAGTCCTCTCACTCTATGGTGAGTCCTCTCACTCTATGGTGAGTCCTCTCACTCTATGGTGAGTCCTCTCACTCTATGGTGAGTCCTCTCACTCTACAGTGAGTCCTCTCACTCTATGGTGAGTCCTCTCACTCTACAGTGAGTCCTCTCACTCTATGGTGAGTCCTCTCACTCTACAGTGAGTCCTCTCACTCTATGGTGAGTCCTCTCACTCTACAGTGAGTCCTCTCACTCTATGGTGAGTCCTCTCACTCTATGGTGAGTCCTCTCACTCTATGGTGAGTCCTCTCACTCTACGGTGAGCCCTCTCACTCTATGGTGAGTCCTCTCACTCTACGGTGAGCCCTCTCACTCTATGGTGAGTCCTCTCACTCTATGGTGAGTCCTCTCACTCTATGGTGAGTCCTCTCACTCTATGGTGAGTCCTCTCACTCTACAGTGAGTCCTCTCACTCTATGGTGAGTCCTCTCACTCTACAGTGAGTCCTCTCACTCTATGGTGAGTCCTCTCACTCTACAGTGAGTCCTCTCACTCTATGGTGAGTCCTCTCACTCTACAGTGAGTCCTCTCACTCTATGGTGAGCCCTCTCACTCTATGGTGAGTCCTCTCACTCTATGGTGAGTCCTCTCACTCTATGTTGAGTCCTCTCACTCATGACACGTGGGGTGGGTGTCGTAGTGAGCGGGATATAGAGTCTTGAGAGAGCTTACATGTTGCATGTTTGGTGTTAATATTATTATTTTATTATTTTTACTAATATTTATATTTTTATGTTAACATGTTTGCGCCTCAGTAATGTTCCCACACACACATGGGGAGGAGAGGGAGTGAGGGGGAGGAGGAGGAGGAGATGAGTAGGGGAAGAAAGAGGGGAGGAGGGGGGGGTGAAGGTTAGTAGGGAGGAGTAAGGGGGTGGGGGGGGGTGGTAACATTGAGATGGTGTTGGGGAACCAATGGCCTCTTCATAATTGGTTGCCTGTTTGTCAGTAATTACCTTGTTTCTCTCCCTCGTGTGGTGGTTGTGGTGATGATGGTGTCAATGGTGGCTATGTTGGGGGTAATGGGGGTGTGGGTGGGGGGGTGGGGGTGTAGGTGGGTGAGGGGTGGCGACAATTATCGACAAAACGTGTCCATCACCCTACAACATTGCCCTGTCTCTCTCTCTCTCCCCCCCACCCAAACACATTAAAGCAAACTCTATTCATAATTTTAAAACTAGGTATGATAGGGAAATAGGACCGCAGTCATTGCTGTAAACAACCGATGGCTCGAAAGGCGGGATCCAAGAGTCAATGCTCGATCCTGCAGACACAAATAGGTGAGTACACACACACACACACACACACACACACACACACACACACACACACACACACACACACACACACACACACACACACACACGTCCCACACTGGTGGGACGCGAACAAGGGGACACAGGTGGAAGCTGAGTACCCAAATGAGCCACAGAGACGTTAGAAAGAACTTTTTCAGTGTCAGAGTAGTTAGTAAATGGAATGCATTAGGAAGTGATGTGGTGGAGGCTGACTCCATACACAGTTTCAAATGTAGATATGATAGAGCCCAATAGGCTCAGGAATCTGTACACCAGTTGATTGACGGTTGAGAGGCGGGACCAAAGAGCCAGAGCTCAACCCCCGCAAGCACAATTAGGTGAGTACACACACACACACTCACACTCACACACAGCAAAACACGAACGCTTCAGATAACTATCCACTACGCGTTGAAGTCTCCCGGTGTCTCATTCAATCCTCCTCCTCCCCGCCAACCCTCACGGCGCGTGAGGTGTGATCCAACCCCAAGCAACGCGCGTGAACAGGTGTAACTCTCCTGCCTCGCCTGCAACAGACAGGTCGTGGTGTCGGGTGTGGCCACGACCACTGCATTAGCATACGAAAGAGGCCGCATGCGGTCTAGTGCCCCAGTAGCAGCAGATATTACGTGGCTTGACTCCACCTCTCCGGTACGGGAGTCCTTCCTGGTGTTCTGGGGGTCTGACCTTCCTCATGTCCCCATCACCGTGGTGGGTGTGAAGGGGTCGGCTCTCAGCTTGGCTGCGGCATATTTACACACACAGGTACCCAGGTAACGAGGCTCGTAGGTGTAGAAGGCACATAGGTGTACAAGGCACATAGGTGTACATGGCATGTAGGTGTATGTGTAGAGACATATACACTTACGTGTATATGTCTCATGTTATGTACACAGTTATAAAGGTACATAAGTTAAGAACAGAATGTCTGATACACCGGACCCCCAAAATACTAAAAATACGTCTAATTTAACTGGGATGTTAAGGAGAGAGAAGTGATACAGGGAGAGCCAGGCTGGCGGGGCTCTTCAACACACACGCTGACGGATCTGTGCGCGCGGCTGTGTGTTTGTCGTGAGAACCTGTTGATTACACACACATAAGAAGGTCCTTGCTCAGTTACTTTGCTGGTAACACAAGAATAACAGTGTGTGTGTGTTTGTGTGTGTGTGTGTGTGTGTGTGTGTGTGTGTGTGTGTGTGTGTGTGTGTGTGTGTGTGTGTGTGTGTCTTGCTGTCTCCCACCCACTACTGCTGCCACGGGAGTAATAATACAGGTGTGTGTGTGTGTGTGCTTGACAGGAGGACCTGCTGATCCACGGGGACAGCGTGTACGACATTATTGACAAGCAGGACCACGCTGCCGTACAGGCAGAGCTGGTGAGGGCCGGTCACGCCTCCCAACACCTCGACGAAGACCGTCTCTTCCTCTGTCGTATGAACGTCTCCAGGAACGCCAGAAGACAGATGAGGTTCGGCGACCAGAAGGTGAGACCCGTCCACCAACCTTTGTGTACTGAGGTAATGCTAAGTTCTTCAACCATAAGGCACCAAAATGAACTGATTGCTGCAGTATTAGTGATGAGTTACCGACATAGATAATAGGGTACAGAACCCGATATAGATCGTAATGGTTCTTACAGTTAAGTTTAACTCTTAAGGCGAGAGAGCAGGGCTAAGGGAGCCTGGTGATAATGGCGGCAATCCTGGGTCATAGTAGTAACTGGTGTACTTTATATAATAAGATTATTAACTTGTACTATCATTCTGTGTACTGTGAATACTAGTATGCCAGAAGCACTAAAAATGTGAGTCAAGCAATCTTATATTGGTACAATGTTGTGGGGGAACACGGGGCTCCTGTAGCACTAACAGGTGTAATGTGCACTTGCTGAATATAACAGTGTGCTGCATCCCAGGGGAATATTACAAGTGTAACGTGAGCACTAGCACTTTACCTTAACCCGCAGGTGGTGCTGGTGGCCGGACACTACCTGTCCTACCTGCCCTTGTGCTCGAGGAACGAGCCGGTGTTCCTGGCCCACTGCACGCCCGTCGCCATGCCGGAGACCAGAGAGAGTGTGGTGCAGGGCGCCACCAACGTCTTCACCTCCGTCCACACCCTCGACATGAAGTTCCTCAACCTCGACAGAAAGTGAGTACTGGCTTGTGTTGCGTCTTCCTTGGGAGTCTTGGGGCGTCTCTCCCTCCCTCTCTTGTCCACAATGTCTCCCAAGACGACAGAAAGTGAGTACTGGCTTGTGTTGCGTCTTCCATGGGAGTCTTGGGGCGTCTCTCCCTCCCTCTCTTGTCCACAATGTCTCCCAAGACGACAGACAGTGAGTACTGGCTTGTGTTGCGTCTTCCTTGGGAGTCTTGGGGCGTCTCTCCTCCCTCTCTTGTCCACAATGTCTCCCAAGACGACAGAATGTGAGTACTGGCTTGTGTTGCGTCTTCCTTGGGAGTCTTGGGGCGTCTTCCTTGGGAGTCTTGGGGCGTCTCTCCTCCCTCTCTTGTCCACAATGTCTCCCAAGACGACAGAATGTGAGTACTGGCTTGTGTTGCGTCTTCCTTGGGAGTCTTGGGGCGTCTTCCTTGGGAGTCTTGGGGCGTCTCTCCTCCCTCTTGTCCACAATGTCTCCCAAGACGACAGAATGTGAGTACTGGCTTGTGTTGCGTCTTCCTTGGGAGTCTTGGGGCGTCTCTCCTTTCCTCTCTTGTCCACAATGTCTCTCAAGACGACAGAAAGTGAAAACTGAGTACTCGCTTGTTTACTAACACCTTTCCTTGAGGTGTTAGTAAACTCTCATTCGATGTTTCATTTCATAATGCTCCAAATTCGACAAAATGAGCCCCCGCTTGTGTCGGTGGGCCAGGGGTATTAACCCTTAGAGTGCGACGAACGTAAATTGATGCATAACAACAGTTATGGTCACAGTGTGATTAGCGACAATAAGCACCAATTGTGCGTGGGTGTGTGAGGCGATGCTTCACCAAGACTACTAGTGATGTCCTCCCACACATACTCCCACACGTTGACACAATGATGCCACAACCAAATTAAGAACGCCTTAGACATTGTACACAACTACCAAAATCACCACCACTACTATATATCACCACTATACAATACAATACAATACAATACAATTTTATTTAGGTAAGGTACATACATACAATAAATTTTTACAAGGATTGGTTGACTTATAGGTAGAGCTAGTACATACAATGCCTAAAGCCACTATTACGCAAAGCGTTTCGGGCATACATGTCACAACCATACTATAGTCACAACCACCACCATAACCACAATCATCACCACAACCACCACTACTACCACCAGTTCCAAGGTTCCCACGCTCCCCCTCCCCCCCCTCCACATCAATATTCATGCATGGGGGGGAGGGGGTGTGTAATGACTGTTCTGACTCCCGCTTCACCATATGCGATCACTTGACACATAGTGGAGCTGTTATGTGATTTGTCTGTCTGTAACCTGCTGCAACATTTACTCCCTGGTACCTGACCTGGTGAATACCAGGTGTGGGAAGTGCAGGTGTACTCGCCTAGTTGTGCTGCTTGCGCGGGGGGGGGGGGGTTGAGCTCTGACTCTTTGGTCCTGCCTCAGATGTGTCATATATATATATGATAACTACAACAAATGTGGAAAACTGCAGGTGTGGGGGGCTATGGGGAAGTGACACATGTGGAGCTGTCACACTATGAACAGTTTCGACAAACGTATAAAAATGTGCTGTTGGACACCAAAAACCTTTCACGTTTGTATCAATGAATTAGTCCAAATGGCAAAAATGTAAACCTATCCAAGCAATGCTAGGCCAAATATACGCTACTTCAGGCCTAAAATATTACATGTATGTCCAATTCTAGGCTCAGGAAAGATCATGCTTCTGGCTGTGTCTGATCGGGACCTCTACCAAACCAAAGGGTACAAAACAGTGCAAATTTTTTTGGTACATTCGACCAAATAGTTGAGAATAATACTATAAATTTAGGAGGATGAATTGGGCCTGGTACCCCACGTGTACCAGGTGGTACTACGTGTACCAGCAGATGTACCAGTGCAGATGTATCAGATGTGTGCAGGTGTGTGCTTAATGGCATGTGTGTGTGTGATCTGCAGGCATATATGTAGCTAAGTGGCACGTATATTTGAAGAGGAAAGCGTGCATTAAGATTCAAATGTTTGCATTAGGAGTCACGTGTGTGTGTGTGTGTGTGTGTGTGTGTGTGTGTGTGTGTGTGTGTGTGTGTGTGTGTGTGTGTGTGTGTGTGTGTGTGTGTGTGTGTGTGTGTGTGTGGAATGAGAGTCAGGTGTGTGTGTATAGTAAGTGCAGGTGTATGGACATTTTTGGGTGTCGTAATTATCAGAAGAGTAGTGTCAGGTGTGTGGGAAATGCTTTAACCCTCCACACTCCGTCACACCCACACACACACCTTCACCCCCACACTCCGTCACCCCCACACACCGTCACCCCCACACACCCTCACCCCCTCCCCCACACACACCCTCACCCCCACACACCCTCACCTCCTCCCCCACACACACCATCACCCCCACACACCCTCACCTCCTCCCCCACACACACCCTCACCCCCACACACCCTCACCTCCTCCCCCACACACACCCTCACCCCCACACACCCTCACCTCCTCCCCCACACACACCATCGCCCCCACAATGACGACCAGAGAACGTTCCGCCTGGATAGGCGAGCCGAGCAGAGGTCAGCCATCAGCAGGTCTCTGCTGTGGTGTAAAACAAAGAGAAGATAGCCTTTTGGCGGGGTTTTCATGCCGCTTGCTCTTGTTTTGCGTCGAGTAATGGCGGGAGAATCCAGACTGGGGCGCGATCAATTTCGAATTGGTTTTGGCGCGTTTTTCATTCTTTTGTTTAACGGCGCGAGAATCCGGAGCACGGCGCCTCCTTTTCGAATAGAATTTTGTCTATTTTATTCTATTTTAGTTAATTTTTTTGGGCATTTTAAGTTTGTTAAGCATTTTTTCCAGAATGTTCGTGATATTACTTCTGTTATTGTTAAAAGTTTTGTAATAGATTTTGATGTATAATTGTTAAGAGGTAATTATATCGTTCAGGAAGTCGTGTACAATTATATTTATGGTGCTAAAATTCGCCAAACAATTAACATGAAAATAACTCTTCTATAAAAGAAACTTTATTATTAAAAAAACACACATGGTGAGACAGGATTCAGAGTCGGAATTCACTAAACGTACTTAAATGACCTCTTACGAGATTCGTATCTCTTACCTCCATCTTGGAGATGACATTGTCTACATTTATTAAAAAATTTATGAGCTCTGAAGCACTATATACGAAGTTGTTTATAACAATAATAACCCTGAGTTGTGACGTTTCCAACATCACAAACTGTTTAATAAATGAAACAATGACGCCATCATTAAAGATGGACAGGTTTCGTAAGAGGTTAATCCCGGTGGTCTGGGATTCAGAGAGCACTCACATGTCCACTGCTCTCTCACTGGCTGAAGGCTCTTAATGGCTGGTGGCTCTTACTGGCTGCTGGCTCTTACTCCCTGGTGGCTCTTACTGGCTGGTGGCTCTTACTGGCTGGTGGCTCTTACTCCCTGGTGGCTCTTACTGGCTGGTGGCTCTTACTGGCTGGTGGCTCTTACTCCCTGGTGGCTCTTACTCCCTGGTGGCTCTTACTGGCTGGTGGCTCTTACTGGCTGGTGGCGAAATGGATGAAGGGTGAAGACCCTGTTTGGTCAATAGACAGATTTTGGCGGGAAGGGACGAGATGAACATCGGTTAACTATAGATCCAACTAGTTTATTATTAATTATTATTATTATTATTATTATTATTATTATTATTATTATTATTATTATTATTATTATTTTTAATTGTTTATTGTATATTTGTTATATACATGTGTATTAACGCAACCGAGAATAACTAGGTTATCTTTAGACCATCATTGTTGACCTCCGGGCTTCCTTTCAGACCAAGGTTGTTGACCTGTCTCGGTCCCTCTTCAGACCAAGGTTGTTGACCTGTCTCGGTCACTCTTCAGACCAAGGTTGTTGACCTGCCTCGGTCCCTCTTCAGACCAAGGTTGTTGACCTGTCTCGGTCCCTCTTCAGACCAAGGTTGTTGACCTGTCTCGGTCCCTCTTCAGACCAAGGTTGTTGACCTGTCTCGGTCCCTCTTCAGACCAAGGTTGTTGACCTGTCTCGGTCACTCTTCAGACCAAGGTTGTTGACCTGCCTGGGTCACTCTTCAGTCCAAGGTTGTTGACCTGCCTGGGTCAACAGACCAGAGTTGTTGAAAGTATCAATCTGATTATGGAATATTTTGAGTATTCTTTTAGGTAGGTCGAGTTCATGTGGTTCCAAAATGGTATTAGAAGGACGTCTCAAGAAGCTGGATGAGCTTTATAAGACACTTTTACGTCATATTAAAGACTTGCGATGTTCGAAACGTCCTGTGTTTGGCGGAGCTGACGTTTCGAACAATCTGCCAAAGCGTCCAATTTGAGGTGGTTTTTGCATAACCAAAAACGTCAATTTTGAGATGCTCTTCCTAACCAGAAGCATTCGAACGTAAACAACCCAACTAGCCAATGAAGGTGGACACTCATTACTCCCTCAAAATTTTGCCCCTGTGGTCGATAGTTAAAATTCTGGGCTATAGAAGATCCCTTTTCTCTACTTACCACTCCGTAAAAAACACGACTGTTTTGCCTCGCCTAAAACGTCACCAACCCAAGCAATTCACCAAACCTATGGAGATCGATCCATTATAATCAATTCTGCATGACAACAATTTGGCTATAATAATTAACAGAGAAGGTGACGACATGAGAAATATTATCTGAGCAAACTTTCAGTGTCATCCAGTAACAATTCGCTGGTTGACTCACGTGAAAAATTTAGACCTTCTCAGAGAGCTCCTTCGACGCGTCCGTCCTCGTCGAAGGTCAGGACCGCACTGAAGGATCCCAAGGGGCTCTCAAAATAATGGGTTAATATGAAGGAACAAATCAAATAGTGATTTAGCATGAAGGAAGACAATTATAATAATAGGGTGAATATCAAGAGCTGGCATTAACATCTCCCCCATTAACATAGCACAGTAACACTATCATTCTCTCTTGAGATGATTTCGGGGCTTTAGTGTTCCCGCGGCCCGGTCCTCGACCCGGCCTCCACCCCCAGGAAGCAGCCCGTGACAGCTGACTACCCAGGTACCTATTTTACTACTAGGTAACAGGGGCATAGGGTGAAAGAAACTCTGCCCATTGTGTATCGCCGGCACCTGGGATCGAACCCAGGACCACAGGATCACAAGTCCAGCGTGCTGTCCGCTCGGCCGACCGGCTCCCTGGTTACTAGAGAAAATAATTAAAATAGAAAATGTCTCCATGATTAAATATAGATATACAAGTTACTAGAGACCAGGGGGAGATATACTAGACAGTTAGAAGACGGCCTACAAGCGGTACTACTCTTCCACACATTATAGACCCTAATTAGATCAATATAGAGATAGATCAATATATGACAAGCTCAATAATGACCTAGATCAATATAGACCGAGATCAATAATGACCTAGATCAATATATGACATGCTCAATAATGACCTAGATCAATATAGACCGAGATCAATACGTACGCTCGTTATTAGCCTGAGTGCATATGTAGTCTGGGCCCGCCCTCCTCCTCCAAGGGGGACCCCCGTACCTCGCTGCTATGTAGTGCGTCTCGGAGGTCAAGCTCTGTGGTTGACCGGCCTTGTCACCGCTAAGATAGTCTGGAGGGCTACTGCGGGTAGGCCGGGCCTCTTTGCCGGTAACTCCGGGGTCCATGCGGGTATATGGCCAGGCGTGCCACCAGCTGTATGGTAGCCCCCAGGAATCTGGTCACAGAAAGCATATATATATATATATACGTCTCAGCGAGTAGCCTGGGGCCTCAGCGAGTAGCCTGGGGCCCCAGCGAGTAGCCTGGAGCCCCAGCGAGTAGCCTGGAACCCCAGCGAGTAGCCTGGAGCCCCAGCGAGTAGCCTGGAGCCCCAGCAAGTACCCTGAGGCCCCAATGAGTAGCCAGGGGCCCCTCAGTGAGTAGCCTGAAACCCAGCTCGAGTAGTCTGAGGGAGGGCCCCCCGCGGCTAGGGAAGGTGGGAGATAAGCGGGCCCCGTCCACGCGGCCAGCCACGCCATCTATCCTCGACCCCCAGAGTGATGACCCCGCTCTTTGTCCACGCTCTCATTCCCACGCGCTCGCACGCCCTCTCCCACGCCCACTACCTCACCCTTTTCCCCTCACACTACCTCACCCTTCCTCATACTCTCCCTCTACCTCTCTCAGGCCTCCTCACAACATCCTCATAACTCTTGATATTGTTCACATTTCTACAACTTTCGCGTCGACGAAAGTTGTAGAAACACCCGTAGGCTACAGGTGTTATTTTTTTACACCTATATCCTAAGAGGTGTTGACGTAAAACATGTGTTTTGATGTTCGTTTCGTTAATGTTCTGGTTCGATACGTTGCTCTAAGCCTGTCTCTTGACAGGTGATTAATTATACGATGTTTTTCGTATATTTTCTTGAATCTAAAGTAAGACATGTTGTGTTGTTCTTCTGTCCTGACAGGTGATGATTTAGGCTTGTGTCTTGACAGGTGTTGTCTCAAACTCTTGTCTTGGCAGGTGTTGTCTCAAGCTCGTGTCTTGACAGGTGTTGTCTCAAGCTCGTGTCTTGGCAGGTGTTGTCTCAAGGTCGTGTCTTGGCACATGTTGTCTCAAGCTCTTGTCTTGGCAGGTGTTGTCTCAAGCTTGTGTCTTGACAGGTATTGTCTCAAGCTTATATCTTAACAGGTGTTGTCTCAAGCTTATATCTTAACAGGTGTTGTCTTAAGCTTATATCTTAACAGGTATTGTCTCAAGCTTATATCTTTACAGGTATTGTCTCAAGCTTATATCTTTACAGGTGTTGTCTCAAGCTTATATCTTAACAGGTGTTGTCTCAAGCTTATATCTCAACAGGTGTTGTCTCAAGCTTATATCTCAACAGGTGTTGTCTCAAGCTTATATTCTAAGAGGTGATATCTCAAACAATTATTTACCTTAACAACTTAACTAAATATATTTTATTTACATAGCAGTCGACTGCGCATGCGCGCACTGATGAAACTTGTCGACAGAAAACACTCGCTTTTCAAGCTGGCAATACAGCATGAAATAAATAGGGCAATACCCCATTTATGCATTACTCAATCCAATATAAAAAAAACAATACATTGATATATTTTATTGTGGTTTTAGCTTTTAAATATCTAATTAAACACAAAATAGAAATGGGGAAAATTTGATGTTTTGTTTGTGTGTGTGTGTCGGCAGCGGGGAGTTCCACCTTGGGTACAGTCGGTCGTCCTTGGCTGGGGTGTCGTGGTACCACCTTCTGCACCCTGAGAATATGAGAGAGGCCCAGACCAAGCACCGCCTCAGTGAGTATACCTCTCTAGTATCTTTACCTCACTGGGTTATACCTCCTTTTTCTCTACCTATTGGCGCTATACCTCCTTAGTTATACCTGCTTTGGTTGGATCTGCTTGCATTCTATTTTTTTTATATTTCCTTGATAAAACTCCTCCTAGGATGTAGTTAGTTTCCACTCCTGGTCCACCTGTCCAGCTTTGGTCGCCTTGAGTTATGGAGATAACAAATAAGAATCTTTCACATAGGTGTTGACAGAATACAGGTAGCTTAATGAAAATGGGTAAACAGAGTGTCAGGCTGGCACTTGGCTCTGTTACTTGAAGATAAATATGTGTTCCACAGTCACGACGAGCGAGCAAGACAGGTCGTGCATCCTGCTGGTGCGTCTGCAGGCTGCAGGAGGCACGTGGCGCTGGGTCCACTGCGTCCTGCAGGTGAAGGATGCCGCCGACTCCAGCCAACAGACGGGGCAGAGCACACAGGTCAGCAACAGTAGCAGCAGCAACAGCAGCAGTACCAGCAGCAGTAACAACAACAGCAGTAACAGCAGCAGCAGCAGCAGCACACAGCAGCAGCAGCAGCCAGTGATCGTGGCCACCAACCAGGTCTTGGGAGAGAAGGAGGCGGCGGTACTACGCGCCAACTCGTGGCTCTATCACTACTACACCATGCAGTCCAAGCTCCAGTATGGCCTTGCCTACGATGCCCACGCTCAGAGGGTCCACGCCTACTACCCCCAGGTCATGACCTATCAGGTATGTTGCTTCATGGTCACAACCACCACCTTGGTCCACCACCACTACCCCCAGGTCATGAACTACCAGGTATGTTGCTTCATGGTCACAACCAACACCTTGGTCCACCACCACTACCCCCAGGTCATGAACTACCAGGTATGTTGCTTCATGGTCACAACCACCACCTTGGTCCACCACCACTACCCCCAGGTCATGAACTACCAGGTATGTTGCTTCATGGTCACAACCAACACCTTGGTCCACCACCACTACCCCCTAGGTCATGAACTACCAGGTAATCTTAAGAACTGTTTCTGTTTACATATGTAAAATAATAATTTCCTCTAGAGTCAAGTTATTTTCGTACTGCTAAAATGCTGAACTTAAACAGTTGTCAGCTGTTCCATTTGAGGAGAAACTTAAAATAATTTAATGAGTCTAGACAATAGGCCACAATTGCACTCTGTGAGCCTTTTGAAATTTTATAGTGTTCTTACTTTTCTGCCAATTTTGTTTAAATGGAACTCAGACCTTCCTCATATCTCAATATGGTAGTTGTAATATCCGAGCCAGACCCCCCAGGCCACGCTCGAGGAGTAGAAGAACTCTAGAAACCCTTCCCAGGTATCCTGAATGCTTTTGGGAACGAATTGTCTCATATTGTGAAATTGTCTCTGAGAGTATATCATTTATTTCCTAAATTCCAGGAATTGCCATTCTTATCATAACTTCAAGAGACAGCAATAATGGGCTGTATGGCACCTTTGTTTACCCTCATTAAGTGGTGTATATTTTGTACATTCTGCGTGTGTTAATGTCTTAAATTGAATTTTTAATCTAAATGAGGTTTCTATTAAATTTTGTGGCAAAGTCATTAATATTTAATAAGAGATTTAAATTAAATCAGACTTGCAAGGATCTCCCTGAAATATTGATACGAGATCAGTCCTAGGTCAGACTATTTTGACTGCTCAAGGAGCAGCCTCTACTTTCAAATAATACACTGAATTTTAACACTAAAATCCCAGCATACAAAATATTAGATACTATGAAAAGTAGCAGATTACAAAGAACCACTTTTCTGTGTTTGAGTTGGTTAGGTTAGATTAGTAGCTTCGGTTCACCTATTTTATTAGCCTATTTTCTTTGTCCATTGTATCAACTCAAGAGGACGGGCTGCGAGGAGTAAAGACATGCTAGAAATCCTGAGCGGGACTCCCGGACAGGCCCCCAATTTTTAACACTTTCCCTAAATTGCAACTAATGATATTAACTTCAATATGTTAGGTGAGATTTAACATCATAAGTAGACTAGGGTGCTGGCATTATTAAGATTACTTTCAACTTTACTACCATACCTGTATATCAAGATTACCTTTAGGTAGGTCAACTGTTAGTCATATTCATCTTTGGAAAATTACTAGAAAGTAACAAGGTTCTGTGAACATATAACACACCCACACCAAGAGGTAACAAGCCCCAATTAGCAGGTAATGAACCCGAACCAGAAGGTAACGAGCCCCTACCAACAGGTAACAAGGGCCCCACAAACAGGTTACGAACCCCCAACTAACAGATAACGAGCCCCCCATCCACAGGTAACGAGCCCCCCCCTCCCCACCACCAGGTAACGAGCCCCCCATCCACAAGTAACAAGCCCCCCCCCACCACCACCAGGTAACGAGTCCCAACCAGCAGGTAACGAGTCCCAACCACCAGGTAACGACCCCCAGCCAGCAGGTAACGAGCCCCAACCAGCAGGTAACGAGCCCCAACCAGCAGGTAACGAGTCCCAACCACCAGGTAATGAGCCCCAACCAGAAGGTAACGAGCCCCAACCAGCAGGTAACGAGCCCCAACCAGCAGGTAACGAGCCCCCACCAGCAGGTAACGAGCCCCCACCAGCAGGTTACGAGTCCCCACCACCAGGTAACGAGCCCCTACCAGCAGGTAACGAGTCCCCACCACCAGGTAACGAGCCCCAACCAGCAGGCAATAAGCACCCACAAACAGACAACAAGCCTCCAGCAGGTCTGTACAAGAGTTCATTTGAGTATTGATGAAAGAATAATGTGGCCAACTTGAGACGCAAGAGAGAGAGGGGTAAGAACGCTCTCCTGTCTTGCGAGGATGACCAGTGTGTACCTCAACCACCCCAGCTCCCTGATAGCCCATCAAGATCACTTAAAACTATTAAAAAACACTACAGTATTTTTTTCCACTCATGGGCTGATGGATATATGGTAGCTTCGTGCGATCAATTTAAGTTACGCTAGGTTTTAAGCTTCGTTCAAGGGTTTGGGTCCTTGTTCAAGAGTTTATGTCTTTGTTCAAGGGGCCACTCACCTGATACACATACACGGGAGCTGGATCGCGCATCAAAAGCCATGTGGAGCAGCACATCATATCCAAGTCAGTATCAGGACCAGTGGGAGTCTTCACCTGAGACCTGAGCCTCAGGCCTCATCTCGTCTCATCCTCGACATCTCATATGGCGTGTGTAACACATTGGGTGAAACAGCTTTAATCTAGGAGACTTCGCTAAGGTTTATGAATTAAATATAATCAAATATAACTCACATTTGAGTTCCAAGATTTCATATTTTTCACTTTTCACGTAAGCTTTACCCGAGAAGAGCTTTATTAAGGTTATTCTGTTAGGGCTTTTATCCATGAAGTGTATATAAATATAAATAGAATTGCGTTTGAGATAATATCGTTCTTTGTCACAGTGTGATAAAGAGCCGCCCTTGGGAACGCCAGCGGGAGTCTCGCTTGAAGACATTGCTTCCCCGAAATGCCGTGGAGTTCGTCCGGCCGCCAGGCACCTCTTCCTCAGACTCTGACTCCTTTCTTTAATTTGAAGTTTGGATATAATACGCGAGAGGGAGTCGAACGGGAAGGGGATGGAAGGAAGGGAGGAAGGGATATGAGTGAGGCGACTTAGTTTAGTGTGAGTGTTTGGGAGAGCGTGGAGTGTGTGCGTGTGAGTGTGAGTGGCGTCAGTGTTGACTGTACACATTCCTTGCCAAGGTCTGGTTAGATGCTCTCCCACCCACAAGCCTCCTCCCACCCACAAGCCTCCTCCCACCCGCCTGCTCCACAGCTCCGCCCACTCCACGCTACGCTTTCCGTTCTAATACATTCCTTAATTTGCTGTTAATTTTAGACGACCAGATATATGATGAAGGTGATAGTACTAGTTGCTCTTGTATACGGTCATTTGACGCTTAGAAATTGCCATGGGTGTTACAGTTGTCCAGAGGCAGGGAGTCATGACTGTGGGTGAGTTGGTGAGTACTATGAGTCACAATGAGTGTATTGGTCTCCACAGGGTGATGCTTCAGCAGCCTCCTACATGAGTTCCGCTTCTATTAACGGCGGGGCCTACCCCCACGCCCACCAGGGCTACCCGGCCTCCGCCCACCACGCCCCGTACTCCCTGGCCACGCCCACCGCTTACGCCCACCTTCAACACTACCATCACCACTACTCCGTGCGCCTCCAACACGGCCTAGACTACTCTCGGGACCCCGCCTGGGGCTACTACGACTCCTCCCACGCCAACTCCCACGCCCACAGCAACCACGCCCCCACGCCGCACGCCCACACCACCCACGCCCACTCAGGATCCTCCCGAACTACCAGAGCCTCAGAATCACCAACGGAAATAAAGCGCAAGTCTCCATCAACGCCCATGTCATCACATGGCGTATCTGAGGGCGGCGGGGTGGCGGTGGCGGCTCCCGTGCCTGTAAGGGCGGCTCCAGGGGCGGCTATACACAAGGGGGCGGCGTCCCCGGAGCTGGAACAACACCTGGAAGCGCCCTGGAAGGCGTCCCCGACACAGGAAGTTCCAGACTACCCAGAGTACTCTTCCTACGTCACGCCGCCCTACTCAGCCGCCACGCCCACCAAACTCAACGTCTTCACCTTTGACCCTGCTGACCCGCGGGACGCCCACGCCCACCAGGACCACCACGTGCCCTCAGGGCCCCAGGAGCCCAGAGACGCGCCCTGGTATTCTCACGCTTACGTCAGGTAAGTCATTAGACACTTCAAGGTTACTTTAACTTTCATACACATCTGCACGTAATCACATACACGTGTACAAACACTAAACGTTCGCACATACAAACGTTCCATTTTGGCTACAATGGATGACTTTGGGAACCTAACCACACTCTAGAAGAGGAGGAAGTGGATGGGACATGATAACGACATACAAGATTCCAATGAAAACTGATCAAAAAATCTAATACTAAGGCTCAAAATTAAGAGCAGCGGAACCAGGGGAGAATAGATGTAATCTAAGAGACTCCATATAAATTAGAATAATGTCAGGAATAACGTATTCTCAGTGCTACGGTTGTTAAGTTAAACGACAGAACTAGGCCACTGGAACAGGCTAAACAAAAATAAACACACATACACACACACACACACACACACACACACACACACACACACACACACACACACACACACACACACACACACACACACACACACACAGTCTCGCGGCTGAGTTGGCAGCGTTCGGGATTCATAATCCAGAGACCTAGACTTGATTCCCCCGTCGAGACAGAAACAATTGGGCAGAGTTTCTTTTACTTGAAGCCTCTGCTCACCAAACAGTAAACAGGTACTTGGGAGTTAAACACAAGTTGTATGCTTCATCCTGTGTGTGTGTGTGTGTGTGTGTGTGTGTGTGTGTGTGTGTGTGTGTGTGTGTGTGTGTGTGCATGTATGTGTGTGTGTGTGTGTGTGTGTGAGAGAGAGAAAAGAAATGAGTGTATTACAGGTGTATAACACAGGTGTGTGTTCCTGGTGTGTATATATGACACCTCCCTAAAATCACCTTAGAGACGAACATAAAAGATGTGGAAACGATTGGTAATATCTGAAGCATCAGTCATATTATCAATGTTTAGGAGCGATGCTTTGGATTTGATTGTGGTGGTTGATTGTTGATTGTGATTGATTGTTGGTGGTTTGAATTTGGTTGTGGTGGTCGGATGTTTTACCCCAAGAAACACCCGGTGGGAAGGGGTCAGGATAAGGATTTGGGATGGGACGGGGGGAAAGGAATGGTGGGCCAACCACTTGCGGACGGTCGGGGATTGAACGCCGACCTGCATGAAGCGAGACCGTCGCTCTACCGTCCAGCCCAAGTAGACTGTAACGCGACGGCAGGTGGTTTGGTAATAGGCAGGTGGGTAGATAATTGACAGGCGGGTAGATAATTGACAGGCGAGTAGATAATTTACAGGCGAGTAGATAATTGACAGGCGAGTAGATAATTGACAAGCGAGTAGATAATTGACAGGCGAGTAGATAATTGACAGGTGGGTTGGTATTAGACAGGCGAGTAGATAATTGGCAGGTGGGTAGATAAATGGACGGTGAGCAGGTAATAGGCAGGTGGGTAAGTAATTAGCAGATGAGTAGGTAATTGGCATGTAGTAGATATAATTGGCTTGTGTGGTATAGGTAATTTGTAGACGAGAAGGTGATTGACAAATGATGTGAGTTGGATGACCAGGTACTTGGGAGATAGGCAGCTAGTGGAAGGGAGGGGATTGACTGGGCCGGGGGCGGGGAGGGGATTGACTGGGCCGGGGGCGGGGGGGATTGACTGGGCCGGGTGGGGGGGGGGGGGTCATGAGCAGTTAAGTGGCAGGTAGCAGACAGTTGATGGTTGGTGGTTGTGTAGGGGTGTTCACTGGCAGGTAATGAATAATTGATTAATTTATCTAGTTCCGCAAGAGCAGGTAGTTGGTGGGCGGGTTGGTGGGTGGTGGGCGGGTTGGTGGGTGGTGGGCGGGTTGGTGGATGGTGGGCATGATAGTGGGTGGTGGGCAAGTTTTTTTCATTTTTATAAACGCATTTAGGTACATGTGCATTTGTGCAGCTGCCCTAGACTATATGAAAGGGAGTACAGTGTGTGTCAAAAAGCTAGCTACGTGGTGCTAAAAATCCCCATGACACAGGATGGTTAGTCATACAGAGGCATGTGATAAGTAATCTCCACTGGCAGACTCTGGGTGCATTATGAGGATATCATCATGAACACAAGAGTGAGTAAGGCAGTAGTGATACTGAAGGTCCCCATCTCGCAGGATGGTTAGTCATACAGGGCCATATGTTCAGTAGCCTGCACTGGCAAATTTTGGGTGCAATGCAAGGATATCATCAAGAACACGAGAGTGAATAAAGTAATTGCAAAGCTCCAGGTACCTCATGCCAACGGGTCTGAATGGTCTAATAACTGGGCATTCGGTAATGTCGTGTGGGAGATCATACCGCTGTCAACAGTTTTTTAACAGCAGATAAACTCTTGGGAGTTTACCCATATTATTTAATTAATTTAAATGAAATTGAATTAGTGAATTCTGGGTTAACACGGAGTATTACGTCCATCAAAATGACATTTGAGACGAAAATTATATCTACATACAATGACGGTGCTGTAAAGCTTCCAGGTGCATTGTGAAGCATTAAGAAAGATATGTACAACTAGACAAGGTAATAACTAGAACTCAGAAACCAGTGGACACTGGTCTCTGAGACCCAACACTGGTCTCTGAGACCCAACACTGGTCTCTGAGACCCAACACTGGTCTCTGAGACCCAACACTGGTCTCTGAGACCCAACACTGGTCTCTGAGACCCAACACTGCTCTCTGAGACCCAACACTGCTCTCTGAGACCCAACACTGCTCTCTGAGACCCAACACTGGTCTCTGAGACCCAACACTGGTCTCTGAGACCCAACACTGGTCTCTGAGACCCAACACTGGTCTCTGAGACCAAACAATGGTCTCTGAGACCCAACACTGGTCTCTGAGACCCAACACTGGTCTCTGAGACCCAACACTGGTCTCTGAGACCCAACACTGGTCTCTGAGACCCAACACTGGTCTCTGAGACCAAACACTGGTCTCTGAGACCAAACACTGGTCTCTGAGACCAAACACTGGTCTCTGAGACCAAACACTGGTCTCTGAGACCAAACACTGGTCTCTGAGACCAAACACTGGTCTCTGAGACCCAACACTGGTCTCTGAGACCCAACACTGGTCTCTGAGACCCAACAATGGCAGAGAACAGCAGGAATAGGGATATACGACAATATAATTCACGTGTACCTAAACTGGTATACGTAGAATAATTAACGAAAGGTAAACGGTATACAAAGGCCAGCTGAATATACAAGCGGAAGCACTCTCAGAATAGAAGTAAACCCATCCTCCTTCAGATGACAATACTACAAGCCAAAGAATCCTTTCACCCTACAAAGACCCAGGACCCCATTTCGACTGGTCACTATGCACCCCAACAGTCAGCTGGAATGACTCCCACACACCACAGGTCCTCGCTGTGTTTCGATATTATACTAAGCTGAACAATCCCTTATTGGAGTACAGCATTCCAGTAAATATGGATTTTCAGTGGGCACAATATCAAAGACTGGCACATGGCTCGACGTCGAATCAACGTTAGTTCAACGATATTGCCGTTAATTCGGCATTGTATAGGCGTTGGTCTTGACTATTGTGGCCACTGGGTATTAGAAGATATTGAGAAACAAGAGCAGAGGGGTTCACAGAATAGAATAAACACGAACTTAAAAAAGAGTGTAATAGAACTGCAACCGTGAGGGTAGGTATTTATCAGGAGAAAGTGCTAGGTTAGTACGACTATATAGCCCATGTAATTAAGAGATGGAAATAAGGATTTGGGATGGGACGGGGGTGGAAGGGGGGGGGAAAGGAATAGTCCCCAACCACTAGGATGGTCGGGGATTGAACACCAACATGCAAGAAGTGAGACCCCCCATCCAGTCCAAGAGGATAGATATGATCAAACAGGATATGATTACAATGTACAAGATACTGAGGAGAATAGATGCAGGGAAATAGGAGGAAGGTGCAGTCACAAAGGTGTGAACACAAGTAAGAGAGACGTAATAAAGTACTCGTACGTAGTGAATGTGTCTAGTAATGTGGACTGACTAGAAACATAGACTCGAGGATGTATAGGTGGCTTCCTCCACCTAAGACGAAATGGAATTCAGCTCCAGGACGTTTGACAAGATACACTAAGTACCAATATATCCTCCAATGGAGCAATTAAGTCCAACACACACACACACACACACACACACACACACACACACACACACACACACACACACACACACACACACACACACACACACACACAGTGTTGATAACAAGTCTTGTGCTTATTTAGTGTTGTGTAATACCTGCTTGCAAACATATACAAGAAAATATCATATACATTATGAATTTAACTGTATTGAACGTTATATTTGAACAGATAAGAGTATGTTGCTGAAGACACCTGCAGCTTATATACGTCTTCATGATCAATGTCTAGGTGAGTATACTGTGTATGTCCTCTCTCTCTCTCTCTCTCTCTCTCTCTCTCTCTCTCTCTCTCTCTCTCTCTCTCTCTCTCTCTTCACAACGTGTATATGATTGTATGTCAATGTGAAAGTCCATGTGTATCGTCGTCATTGATAGATGACATACGAGTATGCGTTATATACGGTTTACTTAGATATGAGCTCACATACATCTTGACCTCAGCAAGCTAAACAATTACCTGGTCAGACCCCCAACTACCTGGACAATGTCCAATCTTGTAATAAGGTTCTTAGTTTAACATAAAAGAGAGTTATTGCGCATATCAGTAAGTGCATAAGTTGACGTGTGTGTGTGTGTGTGTGTGTGTGTGTGTGTGTGTGTGTGTGTGTGTGTGTGTGTGTGTGTGTGTGTGTGTGTGTGTGTGTGTGTATTGTTGTACAAAGATGTGGGTGCATCGCATGTGCGTGTCTGGATTATGTACGTGACCGGCTCTCCGTATTTCCAGCAGGTGCCCGCTAGTCTCCGCTAGTCGTGGTCGCAGTGGCCACCTCCCGAGGCTCTCCCTCGCCTCCGCCTCCACTCTACACCTCGAGGTCGACCTCGCCCTCTGGGAGCCTCTCCAAGCACCGTGTGGTCCTCTGGGGCGGCTTTAACATATCTTAAACCATTTGGACGCACGTTGAAGTGACTTCTGGTGCCCCTGGACGCTTGTGGAATTAATCAGTGGCCATCTGGAATTATCTGGAGGTGTCGTTTGGTCTCCCCTGGAAGCTTGAGGAGTTAATTAATGATCGTCTGGAAGTACCTGGAGGTGACGTGGATATCTGGACACTTCACAATGTGATTTATGATCATTTGGAAGCACTAGGCAGTGACGCGTCGCACCTTGAAAGCTTCTGAGAACAAGATTATGGTCATCTGGAAGCTTTCTTAACTTGCGACCACGTGAGAGCCACTGCACGTAATTTGAGGCCGTCGGATAGCCTGAATTCTTTATCTGTGGTCCTGTGTAAGTAGTTCCTATTGATTTTGAATCTTCTGCCAATTGACTTTATCCGACTGGATTTCCCAGCAGTAGATTTTATGACGCTTTGGATGCTTTAAATACTGTACTATTATCTTGAGCAGCTCGTATGAAATACTACTTTACAAAGTGATGTATTAACCACCTGGAGATCTTTGAGAGTATTTATAGTATGTGAAAGCTCCTTAAATGATAAGTCTTAGTGCCTTTAAAGCGTTTGTGGCTTTTTTGAATATACGTTTGTAAATACGCCGTGGAACTTTGAGGGCCTTGTGTCTCTATAAGCATATGTAGATGTGATTTGTGTCTCTGGAATGTGTTAATTTAGTAACTGGTGCTACGAGCACTATACTGAGTTATTTATGGCCCCATTTACGAGTTTCTATAAGTTTCTAGAGTACTCATTCTGCCATGCTGGAAACCTCTGTGATTGCAAGACACACTCTGGTGTGTCTCTAAATATATCGTGACATTTACAAAATCCCACGTTAATTATTAAAATGCCAGAATGCCATACTGTAAATTGTGTATGACACCTCGTTACCTTTGTAAATGACGCGAGACTGTTCAATTCTCCAAGTGCGTCTGCCACTAGACGTTTCTAGAAGCATATGCTGCACGTGTATTCTCTATTGAGACAAATTTAACTTCTCATGCTGTGAGACGCTTTAGTTGCCGTTCTAAGTAGTTTATCGAAAGAAGGCGCCATGACCTTTCGCAGGAAACATGGCGAACTGGATGTCTCAAAGAGTGATCCGATGCTCTTAAGAGCCTCTAGGTATGGAGTTATAAACTAGAAATCTCTTTTTGGGGGGCAACTTCTAGCATTGCTGGAAGCCTCCGTTAATGACTCATCTAGAAATGAGTCATTAACGAAATGAGTTATGCTGGAAACTCATCCTAGAAAATTTGAAGCATCGTGAAGACTCTATATACGACATGATGAGTTCTATATACGAAGTGATGAGCTCTATATACGGGGTGATGAGCTATGTAAACAAGGTGATAAATGAACTTAGAAAAAACACAAAAGGAACATTTCTTTAGTTTCTTTAGTAACATAAGTTTTCACCGACGTCAAACGCAGTGAAAAGGACAGATTTTTATAGTGCTGAAATCTGCGTCTTTATGGAGGAGTTGACAGGAGTTGACAGGAGTTGACAGAAGGTCGGGGACGCGGAGGACTCGTCCGATTCTGTTGGTAACGCGCGTGACTGTGATTGGCCTGTTATCATGCAAGGCTAACAGCTTCGTTATCTACATTGACCGTTACCGAGGCAGTAACTATGTTGTGTGTATTCTCCAATTAAGGACGATGTCTTCCTAGAGTTCTTCGGCACAACCTGTATGATACAGCTTGTATGATACAGCTTGTATGATACAGCCTCTATGATACAGCCTCTATGAAACAGCCTGTGTGATACAGCCTTTATTATACAGCCTCTATGATACAGTCTGTATGATACAGTCTGTATGATACAGCCTGTATGATACAGCTTGTATGATACAGCCTCTATGATACAGCCTCTATGAAACAGCCTGTGTGATACAGCCTTTATTATACAGCCTCTATGATACAGCCTGTATGATACAGCCTCTATGATACAGTCTGTATGATAATGCATAAAGAAATAGCTAAACAATATCATGGAACATATTGTATTATGGAAATTATTCATACTGAGATATATAGATACTTGCTTACGCCTCTGAATTGTATATATATATATATATATATATATATATATATATATATATATATATATATTTGGGCTGTGTGTTTGTATAGTATTTAGTGTTTGTGTATTTGTCTAGTAAGTAGTGTTCGTGTGTTTGTACAGAGAGAAAACCTCAATATTGCTGAAACTGGCACACATTGTTTTGCTTCTTTGTTTTCTTGTTGTGAAAAATTTAAAAGGCAATTTTTTTTAGGTGCTAAGAATAGAACTATATATATATATATATATATATATATATATATATATATATATATATATATATATATATATATATATATATATATATATATAGTGACGTATTTATGTACTATGAAGCACCAGTGTGAAGCTTTTGTGACAATAAACTATTAATTTTTTTTTTTTTATGATTGAACCTTTGAGAATAGAGGATGACTAGAAAAATAATGTACATGTATTTTCACACACACACACACACACACACACACACACACACACACACACACACACACACACACACACACACACACACACACACACACACACACACACACACACACACACACACACACTCACACACACACACACACACACACACACATCTTCACTGCAGTCAGTAAGACAGAAGAGAGGGGGACATGATCGAAACATGCATGATCCTCACAAGGACTGAAAAGGTAGATTAGACATATATTTTTATATTTAACAGCTGAACAAATAGATATGATTGGAAACTGGAAACAGATGAGTCGTAGCCTTGTCGTAGAGGCATGGAAGCTTTTCTTCTGTGATAGTGAATATCAGGATGAACAAGATGGTGAACAGTGAGAGAACAGTGAGATGGTGGTGGGACAGTGAGAGAACTAACATGAACGATATATATGCTCCTTCAAGCGTATGTTCGATAATCGACATGAGTGGATGATTGTATCATCCTACTGGTAGCTGGAAAGGCGGGACCCTAGAGCTGAAGACTGACATACTGGCATATTTAGGTGAGTATATAGACACGCTTTCACATTGGCCATTACCATAACTACTAATTCTGCACCATGCTCACCATCACTACAACTTGACGACCACAATCACTATCACCACCACCACTATCACCACTACCACTATCACCACCACCACTATCACCACCACCACTATCACCACTACCACTATCACCACCACCACCATCACTATCACCACCATCACTATAACCACCACCACTATCACCACTACCACTATCACCACCACCACTATCACCACCATCACTATCACCACCATCACTATAACCACCATCACTATCACCACCATCACTATCACCACCACCACTACCACCACCACCACTATCACCACCATCACTATCACCACCATCACTATAACCACCATCACTATCACCACCACCACTATCACCACCATCACTATCACCACACTATCACTATATCACCACCATCACTATCACCACCACCACTATCACCACCATCACTATCACCATCACTATCACCACCATCACTATCACCATCACTATCACCACCATCACTATCACCACCATCACTATCACCACCATCACTATCACCACCATCACTATAACCACCATCACTATCACCACCATCACTATCACCACCACCACTATCACCACCACCACTATCACCACCACCACTATCACCACCATCACTATCACCACCACCACTATCACCACCACCACTATCACCACCACCACTATCACCACCACCACTATCACCACCATCACTATCACCACCACCACTATCACCACCACCACCACCACCACCACCAGCAGTTTGTGAACTCTGAAGCACTACGTGATTCAGTATAACAATAACAACCTCGCGTTGTGAGGTTCCGAGGCTCCTGAACTGTTTAATAAACGTAAACAAAGCCGCCACGAATGAGGAAAGATGTAGCGGTTTCGTATGTGCTGATCAAAAGACTTGATGACCCCACCAGACACTGAGAATCACCGCAGCCAGTTGACCAGTTAGGAAGAAACTCTCCTTGACTCCGTGTGAGAAGAGAGCAATTACCCCCCACCAACTCTCAGTTTGGTTCCCTGCTTTTGGCTAACTGAGAGAGAGAGAGAGAGAGAGAGAGAGAGAGAGAGAGAGAGAGAGAGAGAGAGAGAGAGAGAGAGAGAGAGAGAGAGAGAGAGAGAGAGAGAGAGAGAGAGAGAGAGAGAGAGAGAGAGAGAGAGAGAGAGAGAGAGAGAGAGAGAGAGTGAGAAAGAGAGAGAGAGAGAGAGAGAGAGAGAGAGAGAGAGAGAGAGAGAGAGAGAGAGAGAGAGAGAGAGAGAGAGAGAGAGAGAGAGAGAGAGAGAGAGAGAGAGAGTGAGAGTGATATATATTGACATATTTGTGAGTATATTCGGAATAAATGTACCATCGAGCAGTTCTGAGAACGCCGGGGTCTTAGCACTCGTGAATGTTTTGGTTCTAAGGAATACTACTCCTGAGTATTTAATGAAGCAGCATTTTTTAATCGAAACCATATAACTTTCGCTGAAATAAGTTGCCATCTTTACATAACACGATACAAATTTGTATATCTATATTAAATCTAGTAAATATATTCAGCAGGACGACTGGGAATTACTTAATTGCAAATTGATTGCCGAGCCAAGATTACTTGGCCACGCCCCACAAATGCACTTGGTCCAATCAGGGTCCAAGAGGAATCTGCATTAACGAATCACAAGCGAGATCATCATCATTAGGGCGGAGTCACACGAGAACCGGAATTTTGATGGGTTTAATGATAGCGGCAGGGGCGAGGCCAGCTTTATTGGTCACTATACTCGCTGGTCACTATGCTGGCTGGTCACTATGCTGGCTGGTCACTATGCTGGCTGGTCACTACACTGACTGGTCACTATGCTGGCTGGTCACTACACTGGCTGGTCACTACACTGGCTGGTCACTACACTGGCTGGTCACTATGCTGGCTGGTCACTATGCTGGCTGGTCACTATGCTGGCTGGTCACTATGCTGGCTGGTCACTATACTCGCTGGTCATTATGCTGGCTGGTCACTATGATGGCTGGTCACTATGCTGGCTGGTCACTATGCTGGCTGGTCACTATACTCACTGGTCACTATGCTGGCTGGTCACTATACTCGCTGGTCACTATGCTGGCTGGTCACTATACTCGCTGGTCACTATGCTGGCTGGTCACTATGCTGGCTGGTCACTATACTCGCTGGTCACTATGCTGGCTGTTCACTATGCTGGCTGGTCACTACACTGGCTGGTCACTATGCTGGCTGGTCACTATGCTGGCTGGTCACTATGCTGGCTGGTCACTATGCTGGCTGGTCACTACACTGACTGGTCTCTATGCTGGCTGGTCACTATACTGGCTGGTCACTATGCTGGCTGGTCACTATACTGGCTGGTCACTATGCTGGCTGGTCACTACACTGACTGGTCACTATGCTGGCTGGTCACTATACTGGCTGGTCACTATACTGGCTGGTCACTATACTCGCTGGTCACTATACTGGCTGGTCAATACACTGGCTGGTCACTACACTGACTGGTCACTATACTGGCTGGTCACTACACTGACTGGTCACTACACTGGCTGGTCAATACACTGGCTGGTCACTATACTCGCTGGTCACTATACTGCCTGGTCACTATGATGGCTGGTCACTATACTGGCTGATCACTATACTCGCTGGTCACTATACTGGCTGGTCACTATGCTGGCTGGTTAATACACTGGCTGGTCACTATACTGGCTGGTCACGATACTGGCTGGTCACTATGCTGGCTGGTCAATACACTGGCTGGTCACTATACTCGCTGGTCACTATGCTGGCTGGTCACTATGCTGGCTGGTCACTATACTGGCTGGTCACTATACTGGCTGGTCACTATGCTGGCTGGTCACTACACTGACTGGTCACTATACTGGCTGGTCACTATACTGACTGGTCACTATGCTGGCTGGTCAATACACTGACTGGTCACTATACTCGCTGGTCACTATGCTGGCTGGTCACTACACTGACTGGTCACTATGCTGGCTGGTCACTATGCTGGCTGGTCACTATGCTGGCTGGTCACTACACTGACTGGTCACTATGCTGGCTGGTCAATACACTGACTGGTCACTATACTCGCTGGTCACTATGCTGGCTGGTCACTACACTGACTGGTCACTATGCTGGCTGGTCAATACACTGGCTGGTCACTATACTGGCTGGTCACTATACTGGCTGGTCACTATGCTGGATGGTCACTACACTGACTGGTCACTATACTCGCTGGTCACTATGCTGGCTGGTCACTATACTCGCTGGTCACTATACTGGCTGGTCACTACGCTGGCTGGTCACTATACTGGCTGGTCACTATACTCGCTGGTCACTATGCTGGCTGGTCACTATACTCGCTGGTCACTATACTGGCTGGTCACTATGCTAGCTGGTCACTATGCTGGCTGGTCACTATGCTGGCTGGTCACTATGCTGGCTGGTCACTATACTGGCTGGTCACTATACTGGCTGGTCACTATGCTGGCTGGTCACTATACTGGCTGGTCACTATACTGGCTGGTCACTATACTGGCTGGTCACTATACTGGCTGGTCACTATACTGGTTGGTCACTATACTGGCTGGTCACTATGCTGGCTGGTCACTATGCTGGCTGGTCACTATACTGGCTGGTCACTATACTGGCTGGTCACTATACTGGCTGGTCACTATACTGGCTGGTCACTATACTGGCTGGTCACTATACTGGCTGGTCACTATACTGGCTGGTCACAGGAGGCAGCACCTGGGTTAGATTATGTCCGCGTTAGTTAACAGGAGACTGG